GGTACACACACGCTGCCGCACATGCAAAATGCATATTCTACATATATAATAGCAATTGATTCGTACTACATAATTTATCTATCATTATTGTTGCACGTAATATACGCAAGAGATTTGATACGAAAATTATTAATAATACGGCGCGCTACCAACTAAGTAAATGACATCACAGGCACCATCTTTCATAGGTTGTGACTGTTTTTTCTTGGGTAATTCAGGCATCAATTTGCATTTAAATTAAAAAAAGTCACATTTAATTTGTACCCAACCGAAACTGTTTATAAAACTCTACGTTTGATACAAGTACGTAACATGATTCTACGATATTTTTACAAGGTTCGTTCGCCAATTTTCCATCAAAATTCTATTCTTTCCAATTAGATAGATAGATGAATGGATCTTTGTGCAACGATATTTCCTCAGGGCGCATAATGTGTAATGCCAAAGTTACGAGACACGGCTGCACGTTCGTTACGGGCTTAATTCAGTAAAAAAACGTGAGTGCACACGATGCACACTAGTCTGGCTTTCGCGTATATGCTGTCTAATCCTATCACGGCCCCACTTAGCCTCATTTAATGGTCCTAAACGTCTCGAGGCTGGATTTACGGGCTGCTGGCCGTGTCTTGCCACGTACGGGATCGTCGCGAACAAATACCATTTTAACGTAACAGCCTGCACGATTGAAACCGCTGTTATAAAATGGTTTATAGTCGACGAGTCTGACCTTTGACAAATTACTTCCCGTTTCGTTCACGCAACCAATGTTCCGTAAAAAAAAAAAAAAAAAATCGGCGTACACGAGCGAACAGAAGGCGCGAGAAACGTGCAGTTTCGATTCGAACGCTTCACGCGACCGGAATTTCATCAATACACGCGACTGTCGCGAATTATTTTCATACCAATCGCGAAACGTACAGTTAATTGAAGTTTATTAATATGACGAACGACGTGTGTTTTGTCCCCTCTTCGAATCACTGTCTCGCGTCAAATTATCGGTATTTGTTTTAATTTCGGAAATGCGTTTGCCCGAGAGACGCATCGACTAAATCAATGACAGTCAGCTTCTGGAAGCTTTTGATGTACAATCTCGGCGTATCGTACTGCGTCCACCACCTGTCTCTTGTTCCACCTGGGATGAAGGTTCTTCTATCTTTGAAGCGAGATTGCGCGTCAGCCTGTAAAAGGTAGCGGAGTTCGAGCGTGTCGCAGCGTGAAATTATCAGGTGATTAAAGTGGCCGGAGATCGGTTTACCGGCGAGACTCTGGCGAATTAAACCAGACACTTGGAGTTTCGTAACAACTCGATGATTTGCAGATGATGAGCCTGGACATTTCTGGTCGTCTCTCGATTTGCTAATATTTCATGTTTTCAAGGGGGTGATCTTCCTCCGGGAAAATTGCGAAACGACGTGACTAGGCAAAGTCGGCTAATGGCGAAAAGTTTACAAGCTGCAGAGGGACCGGCGCGGAGTTTAGTTTAAGACGCTTTGGTGGACGTAAGTACGGCACAGAGCTCGAAAGGGAAAAGGGTCTCGCGAGATGGTCAAGCTTCACTCTGTGGTTCATAGTTCAGAGGATCTGTCCTCGTGGATTTTTATATGTGGGATTCCCGAGACGTAAATACGAAAACGCACGGAATACAAGAATACGTGAAGTAATACAGTGGTTGTAACAGTTGGACTTTGTTCGAGCTCTACTTCTTCGATCACGTGCTCGAAGAAACGAGCACTCGCAGTAACGAGTTTCACCGATATATTTCGACAATTAACGCAAGTGGAAATTCGTATTCAGACGAGTGGATTTAATCGACGAGAGTTCGGACCAAAAGCAAGTGCTCGTTAAAGCAAATTTCGTTTTAAACAATTTATTCGCAATTTCTATTGTGAAATTTTATAACTCATCGTTGAATCGATAAACTCATCATTAATAACGATAGAAATTCGAAGAAAAAGAAATTACTACCTATCCTGCAGTCAGACTAAATATTTAACACTTTGGGGCCTTGCTAAATAGAAGCTAAATAGAAGCTTCAACTTTTAAAAAAAGGAAAAGGATACATTATTGTCGACACACAATAGTTTTCAAGGCAGTTGGACGACGAAAAGAAAATTTTCATGACAGTTTCGAGAGATTACACTCTAGGAACGGTGAGTCGTAAGGTGAATCGTAATTCATGAACTGTACGAATTCGCTTAAATCCCTCCGCTGGAGCAATAATTCTATTCATGTTCCGCAAACACGAGATTGCATTGTCTTTGGCGGAGCGAGGCACAGTAACAATGAAGCACGCTTTTGCCATTATGCAGCTGACAAAAAGTGTAGCCGAGCACTGGAAATGTTCGAGTGTATATTCCTTTTACCAAGACATCACCGAAGACCCGTCTATTTACGGAATTACGTCGGCGCCCCTTTAATTAGATGAAGCGCGCAAATAAATCGAACGATATCTTCCGATGTTGCCGCGTTTTGACGTTGTTCTCCATCCGAGTCGAACACTTTCTCGTCAGAGAATTTTCTACAGTTGGAAAGAAATATTAATATGGCTAATTGATCTATCTCTATTGACGAAATGAAACACTTTGGGTGTTTTAGGGAACACTTTGGAAAATTATCCGTAATTGGGTTATTTTGATTAAAGAAGAGACTTTCCTCTTGACTGAGATTAAAGCAAGATTGGCCCGCGTGAAAAATGGAAAAAAGGATCGCGAAAGACAGTTTTAGAAAGTTTTCCAATATTCTGGAAACGTAATTTCACCGTGATTGCGCGCCGAAAGGTCAAATATTTTACGCTTAATCCGAGGAAACGTAGTCGAAACTGTGATTCGCGGCTTCACTTAGCCCTGGCTTAACTCAGGCTTCATCCCTTAATGATTTTAACTCTAGCTAGATTCGGTATTACACTGGGTCGTAGGGATCGAGAGAAAGAGAAGGATACCTATTTTTTGTCATTATCTAACAAATGTCGCTTCTCTGGTTACGATTCACTCGAAATTTCTCTAATCTTAAATCTTCTTCTTTGCTTCGGCGACATTAAATTCATGAGAACATCGACACACGCGAGCAATCGTTAATTAAAAGTACAAATGTTTCCATTTAATATCCTCTGAGGTAGAATAACATAATTACACATACTGTCGAAGTATTTCACGAATCGTATGATTTTCTTATTTGATTGAAACATTTTTAACGAGTTCTGCAGTGCCTTCTTTAGAGCTGTATAAAAAAAAATATACGCGAATCCATCGTCAGTTAAGTAATATTCCCAGAACTAGGTATTCTTTCCTGTGCACGTTCCAATTTTTAGCAGTTCAAAGCTAACAAAGCCGTTCCAGATCTTATAAAAACAGAATTATCGATTCTCGGCTCGCTGCAGTAATTTATGCATTAAACAATCACAAAATTATTTACCAAAACGGTAAATTTAATTTTCACGGCGCTGCACGCTCTAAGCTTAAACGTATATAAAATCCACAAGGTAATTTTCATAATTTATATGGGCCAGTGATAATTTAATAATCCTGTTATATCTACTGCGGCATATTTAATCTCCTCGATATTATATTATGTATCACATATACGCGATATGTAACAAAATTTCTTCCTTCTTCGTAATTAGGCCAAGCTGACCGACTGCGTTTTAAACGAAAAGTTCTCAACTTTATTGGCACGATCGATATCACTTGTTACACGCAGACTGCGTAAATAACTGCGTTCGTAATCGTCCAAATTCGTTTCATTACGTCTCGATTTGTAAAGTCCGCGACCGGATTAGCTTGGCTTCCGAGCGATTCAATTAACAAGGACGGAACGAAACTTAATATTGGACCAGTAAATCTCGAACCTCAAACAAAACGGTGGCACGTCGCGTGCACCGACCTCATTATTAATACCCCGTACAGTAATAGCACACAGTGTGGTCGTTATTGTTTTCGAAGGAGTCACGAGGCGACTTTACCCGACGAAATCTCTTCCCCATCAAGGGCCAAGCTTATTTCCACCTCGACGTGGAAGCGAAACGGTGAAAGCGAAACGGCTCAGCCCACGCAAAGACGAACAACGTACGCGAGAAGTTACGCCATCGTACCGATGTTGGTGAAATTACGAGCAACCTGGTGTGGGCTGGTTCACCTGGTGGTAGAAAAATACGAAATAGAAAGAAGAAGAAAGAAAGTACAGTCGCCATGAAACTCCTCGAGTTCTGTTTAACGAGGTCACGTAGCCGTTACTCTTTCAGCGGAGTAACGGACAGAGGCGTGCGATAGAAATGCACCCTTTCTCTTCTCCTCTCTCTTCCATCCGCCTTGAAATTATTGATAACGCTTTTGTATAACGCACGCGAAGGCGTAAGTGGTGAGACTCTCATTAGACCGTCCTCGGTCGGCGCTATCGTCCAACGAATCCCTCGCTTTCGCCGACAACGTCATCCCGTCATCCTCTTACGTATTGTTAGCTTGGTTGTTCGCGTGGAAGCTCGCGAACGCTCAAAGTCGAAAATAAACGTTTCGAGAAACGAACGTTTGAAATGTTCCAGAGTTCTAAAAAGTTCGACCGTCGGTATATTTTTGCGTCGGCTTCGATTGCAAATTTAAGAACAACAACAGTCGTTGCGGATAATTTCCATAAAAAGGTGGAATAACAACGGCGAAGCAACGAGACGATAGAAGATGAAACTGGCAAGATGCACGAACACGTAAACTCGCAAACTGCATCGGACGTTTTCGTTCTCAGCTCTTCTATCTCTCGCCGCAGTAATTATTCCTCGCCGAATAAAATAAATTCCCAAAGACTGCGTCACGCCGTTAACCTCGTTCTCCTTATCTCTCCACTCGGCAAAAAAGACGACACTTGGCTCCCTTGGATATGAAAAACACGTGTCTCCCGGGCGCAATTTCCCTCGGTTCGCCGATCATTTCCCCATTTACCTCTCCGTTCCGCTCCATTTGCTCCGTGGCAAGTTTCGCTCCTAACGCTTCTAAACCTTCTTTTCCAATTTCCAGCGACACCGAGGCTCCAGCTTCCGAGGGAACCGAAGGGGTTGAAACAACGGCTGCACGGCCATCGGCCAGCGGAGATCGCGACATCAAGATGTGAAACGGCGACGCCGTTCCAGTGTTCGCGGAACAGAGGAGAACCGGAAAGCCGAAAGGATCGAGGGGGAAAACCGTGAGACATGCTGAGGGCACGAGCCACCGTTTCTCCGTCTCCGTTCCTGTCTTGGCCCGCATGGACCACGCCGTCCAGCGTGCTCAAGGTCACGTCGGCGGCGGCCTCGAGCACGCAGTACGCGAGCATCGGGAGCGTGATCGACCAGATGATGACGGAGAAGAGCGAGGAGCCGGCGAACGCCGAGGAGGAGTACACGCCGTACGAGGAGCGGCCGGAAACCTACATCGTGCCGATCGTGTTCCTGTTGATCCTCGTGATCGGTTTGACGGGGAACGGTGTGCTCGCGCTCACCATACTGCGGCACAGTAACATGAGAAACGTTCCCAACATTTACGTCTTCTCGCTGGCGCTCGGCGATCTCTTGGCACGTGATTCATTCTCTCATTCCAGATTTAGACCGCGAATTTAACGCTACCCGCCCGTTGCCCGTTTCTTCCTTTCACTCGCCTCTCGACGAGCACTCGAACATCTTACTCTTTATTCCAGGGCGACACAGTTTTTTTTCTCTCTCTCTCTCTTTTTCTCTTAAAAATATTCGTCTCTTACGCGGTGCAGTCTTGTTCTCGCGCGATCCTCGCTTTTTTGAAGTTCACGCGCGTCGACGTGAGATTGAATTGTTTCAGTAGCAAAGCTACAAAAGCACGAAGAAGAAAAGTATCGACAGAGAGCGAAGAGGAAGTTTTGAACTTCCATTTTCAAGCGTTTCGAGTGAAATTTTTATCATCATGGATAGAGGGTATTTCGTAACTTGTGGGACCCACTTCGGGAGATGGTTGTACGCCTGGAAATAATGAAAAAAAGTCCTATAAATATAAATATACGTCCTATCTGTCTTCATTTATGAGGTATAATAAATTTTCTGTTTTAATTACTTTTAAAGATGCTCGAAACGACCACCTTGCAGTTGAAGACAAGCCTGCACGCGTCTTGTCATTCATCTGGTTACTCTCTCTATCATTCCTGGTGTTTTTCGAATTTGTCGGAAGTCTTGCTCTATTCTATTTCGTAGTATTTCAGCATGTTCAATCGATGTTGCGTGTACAATAAATTTTAAATGTCCCCATAAATGAAAATCTAATGGATTACAGGCCATGCATAGGACCTCCACGACCAATCCATTTATTTGCAAAGTGTTGATTTAAAAATTGCCTAGCCACTCGGCTAAAATGCGGCGGAGCTCCATCATGTATAAACCGCATACGAATAATCTAATATCGACTGGAACTTCCTCTAATATTTCGTGTAAACACGTGCTGAAAAAATCAACGTACTTTGTACCTGTTAGTTTCCCATCAAGAAAAAAAGGTCCAATTAAAAATTTCTCAATTATTCCTGCCCATACGTTTAAACTAAACTGGTGTTGATGTTTTGAATGCACAATAACATGTGGAGTTTCTTCATCCCAATTACGATTATTATGAAAATTGAATATACCATCCCTGGTAAAACTAGCTTACTAGAGTTTGCTTTGTTTATAAAATTCATTATATTTCCCGAAGTGGGTCCCACAAGTTACGAAATATCCTGTATAATCCTAGATCAGTCGGGAGCTTGTTCCAGGATCGATTTTTTTCAGTTTCAAGCTACGCGTCCCGTAACGCGCAGTAATCCGTTTTAGTCTCTCGGTGCAGATTTTAAGATTGAATTCCAAAGTGTTGAAGCTTTGCTCGAATAACTCTCTGTTTTATTATAATACATACAGAGAGAGAGAGAGAAAGAGAGAGAGAGAGAGAGAGAGAGAGAGAAAGTTCTCGTTAAGCTCTCGCGGTTCCTTTCTTTCCCCACGATTCCCCGCTCTCTCTCTCATTTAAGAAAACGAGCAAGCGATTATTGCAAACAATAAAGAATTTTAATGAATATTTTTCACAGTCCGGCCCGGCCCAGCTTGGAGTTGAAATTATTGTTAAGAGAAAATGATAAACCCGTTCGTAATTAATTCGTTGACAACTCTTTCTCTGTTCGATGTTACGCTGCAGGTGATCATTACGTGCGTGCCGTTCACGTTCACGGTGTACATTCTGGACTCTTGGCCGTTCGGGCCTCTGCTTTGCAAGTTTTCCGAGTGCGTCAAGGACATCTCCGTCGGTGTCTCCGTCTTCACGTTGACGGCGCTGTCCGCGGACAGATTCTTCGCCATCGTCGATCCAATGAGAAAGCTTCACGCCACCGGTACGACATCTTCGATTTCCTATCTTCTCGCAGAGAATCCTCCGGCAGAATCTCTGCGATTAAGAGCGAGAGTTAAAAAGGGGCTGAACTGTCACCGCGTTCAAGAAAAGAATCTAGTTCCAGCCTTCAGCAGGCAAGAATAGAAATTTAAGTAAAGAAATTTAGAAATTCGACAGAATAGTAAGAAATTTATGGAAAGTTTCTTATTCGAGTCGGTATCTTTTCAATTGAAGGAATTTAGTTTAGATCGATCGGATCGGAATTTTGAAATTTCCGAGCACGCGCGCGAACTAGAACAGGTAGAATTTGCAGAACAGGTCGTGCCAGTGTCAAGTTTAGAATTATATCGCGATTGTTGCAAAAAGGATTTCAGAGGATAGATACGCCAACATTTAACCGCACGAACAAACAAATGAACAAAAATATCCGAGACTCATCAAAGACTCTTTACTTTCGTTCCAAATTGCGATCGATTTACGATTCCATTCCACTCGAATTAAAAAGAATATTTCGCGGTCAACTTGGTGGAATTCAAGCAATAACGGTCAAAGTTAAAAAAAAAAAAAAAGAAAAATGTTCCTCGGACAGATTTTCTACTCAAAACGGCGTCTTTCCCTGCGTGAATTTTCCTCTCGCTTTAAAAGCGTTTACCACATCTCGCTCGGCGATCTAATACTCCACGGACAAGGAGACACGCTCAAAGGAGATCAAAGGCGAGTTCGGCCCTCTTCGTGCTCTCGCGTTAGCGAAAGATGCTCCTTGATATTCCGAGTCCCCCATAAAAAGAAACTGTTGGAGCGTATATAGGTATCGTCGACGTAACGCCGGCCGTTGCCGACTTTTATCGTTCAAGGTACGGGGAGGCGAGCGACTCGTTTCACGGTGATCGTCGCCGCCATGATTTGGCTGTTGGCTATTATGTGTGCCATACCGGGCTCCTTCTCCTACATCAAGGTTTTCAAAGTGAACAGCAACGTGAGCTTCAGCGTAAGTCCCTTTGCTGAAACAATTAGTTTTATCGATCGTATATATGCGCGATACGCTCCTCCTCGCCTCGTCAATTCCCGTTCCTCTTCCTGTTTTCCTTGGCAACAATCAGCCAATCGCCGCTTTGTTACCGTCCAAGTATTACACACACACACACATATATATATATATATATATATATATATATATATCGATTTTTAAGAGTGATTTTCTACTCTGGTTTAAATCGAGATATGATTCGAAGGCTTGCTACCCGTATCCAGTGGAATTCGGGCCGAATTATCCAAGGACGATCTTGGTCTGTCGGTTCTTCATATTCTACGCGGTGCCGCTTAGTATCATCGCTTTCTTCTACATTCTCATGGCCAGACATCTGATGCACAGCACTAGGAACATCCCCGGCGAGATGCAGTACCAGGTGAGAAAACTTTTCGAGACGAAGGAGGATTATTCTTGAAGGTGCTCATAATTAATTCAAGTAATGGATACAGGAAAGAATTGTAAGATTGGATTATTCAAATCATTACGCCAATCTAATTCTAATATATATAACCAACATAAGTTAAGTATCTTTTAATTAAATATCTAGTTCTGGTGATGTAATTCCAGATATATTCACCACTGACTGTGAAAACAAATATTCCATTGTCAATAATTTCAAATTTAAATTTGACAATTAAGAAATGATATTAGTAAATATTGCTATATTAGTCTGCAGAAGATTTTTTTGCTCCTTTGAAAGGCATAAAAAACAAACAAAACCTAATTTATTCGAAATTCCATGGAAAAGTTAAGAACTGGTACTACCAACGACTAAAGCATAAATTTTCCATCGTTAAATGGATAAAAAAAAATATTTGCAATACAATAGGATACACAAGCTTTTAGTGCCAAAGAATGATTCAAGTGTCCAAAAATACATTGTTCTATAAAATATCTAGCAAAAATATTCAAATGATCGTTTTGATGTTGAAAAAGGAAATTCAACTACGGAGGCGTGATAATATCGGTTGCCTGGAATCTAAAAGAGGCTAAAAGAAGATACTTTCGACCAGCCGCCTCTCGAAACATCCGAATCATCTCTTTTTAACCCATTGAGCAACAATAGCCTGTAATCAAGTATCAAGTTGCGCGAAACTAGAACTTTAATAGACAACCAGGCGGCTCGTTTAAACTTTCCAAGGAACATTCGTTTAATCCGGCGAACCTTCGTTAAAATCGCGAAATTTTCAGGGTCGCAAAAGGAAAATTATTCTACGAGAAATACTGTAAAGGAAGCATATCGGAATACCATCGAGAGTCAAGAATGGGATGGTCACAAAAATGGTACTCGACGCGGCAGTTGCTCCCTAGAGTTTTAGTTTCCGCGAAATTCGAAACTCTCGTCAAGAGAGAGAGAGAGAGAGAGAGAAAAGACCGTTCGAAACTCGTTTGCATATGAAACACACGCAAACGTATTTCGTTCAACTTTTGATTCGCAGGTGAAACAGGTGAAAGCGCGGAAAAAGGTGGCGAAAATGGTGATGGCGTTCGTGATCGTTTTCGCGGTGTGCTTTTTCCCCCAGCACGTGTTCATGCTGTGGTTTTACATCTACCCCACCGCAGAGAACGATTACAACGCTTTCTGGCATTACTTCCGGATTCTCAGCTTCTGTCTGGCTTTCACCAACAGCTGCATCAATCCCATTGCCCTGTACTGCGTGAGCAACACTTTCAGAAGATACTTCGACAGGTACGCCTGTTTGTACCAAGTAAATTAAAACAGTGAAACAGTTAGTCAAAGAAAATCGAACAGTTATGAAATAGAAATCAAATGGTTAAACTAACAATAAATTATAGGAGTAGCAAGATCCATTATAATTACTCACTTCTCACATCAGTGGATAGCCCTTCGAATCCCAAGGGATATAAGCAAAGATGTACGACACCAGTCACGACTATCCTTGACAGATAATTTCAGCAAAATTCGTCGATCAATGGATAATAAATAGCTGACTATTAGATCGTGACGACGATTAATTTGTCACATATTTCACTCCCTTCTTTGAAAATCAATCCAGGGTTTAGCTCGCTCGAAAAATCCGGGCGAGTCGCTCGTCGCCATGAATATTTATTGCCAGTCCCGGATGAAGCATCAAACTATCTTTCTCGTATTCTATATTCCATACCAATCCAATTCTCAATTGAACGCTCTCAATCACGTATATTTTTCCAACTGGCGCTCGTGCAAATTTAGATTCCCGAGTTAATCGCTCGGAACGTTCACCGTTCGCGTTCAAACGACTACAATTACCATTTACAAATATCTGGCTGTTTTAATGTTTGAGTTCTATCGGACTGAATTGTCCCGCGGGATCAATTATTAATAACGATACGTTCATCTTGTTTATTGCATGTACTATTTCCCGTATTCAAATAATTCAAACGTCGTTTAAACTGACTGATTGATAGGTTTGTTCCTCTTGAAATGATAAATCTTGGAGGGCTCAGGAGCCAATCAGAGTCGCGTCTCGTTGGAAGTAACTTGTGCCATGTAAATGTTCTACTGCTATTAAAATGTCAGACGACGGAACGGTTTAGTCAGTATAACATAGCTATTACGATATTGCAAGTAAATTGTTCGACAAGACGGAAAGGTTGTTTGACAAGAGAAGCACGTTTTCACGGAAAATGGAAATTAATCGCGCTGATTAGTCTTTAGATTTTAAAAGATCTCACGCCTCGAACTTAGAACGTTCCTTTAAAATAACGCGACTAAGAGATTCTAACAGATTCGTCTCCATCTTTCCAATTAAATTACAGATGATAATAACAGAAATGTTCTTTCGAACGAACATCGTTGGCTCGTTGAAAATTTATCACTCTCGAGACATTGGCTGCAATTAAACTTAACGAGCGAAGTGGAGTAATAGCCGGTATCATCCCTTTCTTATTACCTCGCGCGAGGCCGTGTAACACCGTTATAGTGAATTAATAGACCTGTGGTCGTTAAACTGTGTCAAACTTCGCTGCAGGTATCTACTTTGTTGCATACCGAGGCGAATCCGCAGGCGACACCGTCGCTCGTCGGACCTGAGCTCACGCCGGGGCCAAAGTTTCTCGCTGATGAGCTCCAAGAGATACGACTCTCGACGACAACGAAGCACCATGCACATGTCCATCCTCGGGAACGACGCCAAGGCCGGTGTCCCGATCAAGGAACAGGAAACGACCATTAGCCTGGCCGCGTGTCCAAATGGGATCGAAGACGGGCTGAGAAGTCACCGAAACTCCACGATAGAGCAGTCGATCAGTCACGAATGCACGTCAACAACGTCCAAGGACTGAATGTAACTCGTTGTCAGTGGATTTTTTTCCTGAAGGCAGCGAGTGTGTGTGTGTGTGTGTATGTGTGTGTATGTGTGTGTATGTGTGTTTTCTTTGCTTGAAGAAAGATTATTTAGCGGCAGTGGACCAGTGACTCTTGATCGAAGGTCGCAGGTGAAAAATATATGGAAAATCTTGTCTCTCATCTATTGCAGGAAAAGTAATCTTTGAATTCTGAACATCGAGATTCATTTTCACTTAGGATTAATCGAAGGTCCGATTTTTTTTCCGTTTCATCAGTTTGTTCATCGAGTGTTTCCTCATCGACTGTCAAACGAACATCAATTTCACCTTGGTAATTTCTCGCTCTTTCATATCGCGACCGTGAAGGTGATATGAATCAATGATTCTTCTGTAATTTGATAAAGTTAAAAGAAACTGAAGTACTTGTGACTGGCCAGTAATATGCTTAACCGTTTGAGTGTTTAGTCTAGAGCTGACGTATTGCACGGATGATCTTACAATAAAATAATAGCGATAATATACTATAAACATAATATGTCGAAAGACAAATGTTCAAAAATAAACAAATTGTATGCTCCTCGTTTAATATTAAACTTTTGGACTTTCGTTGATTTTAAACACCCGAAGGCTTAGAAATTTGAAAAATCGTTAAGAGGAAAACAAGGAGACAACACGTAGTGAAAAAAGGTATTAAACTTGTCAAATTAAAAAAGAAATGCATTGAAACAACAGGTACAGTAGCCTACCATAAATCAGAGACGCAAAGTTTTATAATTTATTGCAAGACCTTCAAGAGAAAAGAAAAGGAGAAATACTTCTCTTTAGCCACTAAATGACAAACAATCGTTCATATCATATTTTTCCCGTGTGCTCTTTGAATCTTAAGTTTCATTTCAATCATCTCGTTCGATTTGTGTGTGAGAGAGAGAAGTAGCGAACGTCCATGTCCAGTGCATCTCTCATTTCCTGTAAATCTTCGTCCAAAATCTTTGTTTCCTCGAGTGCACGAACATCGTCGAAACTTACTTAGACTCGTTAAGTATGGTTCGCGGGCACAAAAACTGCGACACTTGTAAGTGCATCCAAATAGAGCGCACTGATTTTGTGAATAAAATTCAGACATTCAATCCTCGACGTTATTCCCAGATTCCTCCCTTTTTTCCCAGTTTGTACAAAGTAAGCAGATAGAAGATATAACTCTCGTTTTTTTTTCTAGCTTTCTTTTGAACCTGTACAAAGCGAAATAAAATAAAAAGGAAAAGTGATCGAGCGATTGATTTGATTCAAACATTCACGACTTTGAGACAGCTCGAAATATATAAAATACGATCGGCAAACACACAGAGACTGTGTAAGTGGAGTCAGATACAAAGAGGCCAGGTTACCAATACACTTTGCGGGCACCAAAATTGTGGGAAACGCTATTAAATTTAAATTAAAACACACTGATGTTGCGAATAAAATTCAGACATCCAATCTACATCACTTCTCCATTTTTCTCGTCAGTCTGTAACCGGAAACAAAATGGAAACTAAATGAACTGGTTATCGAGACAGTAATTTTATACTGAGATACTGTAGTCTGATATATTGAATATGATCTCACGATACTGAGACTGTAGTCTGATATATTAAATACGATCCGCAAACACACAAAGACTGCATGATTAAAGCGTGATAAAAAGAGACTAGGGCGCCAATATATTTCGCAGGCATGAAAACTACGAAACTACATCATTATATGTAATAAAACATCCAACTCGTCACTCCCCAACTCTTCAACTTTTAACCTGAAACGAAATAATGAAAACGAAATAACAAGTCATCGAGCCGGTAATTCGATCTAGTGAATCTCACTCCAATTTCTGGTTCAGCATGGCTCGTGTTCTCGTGCCGTTTCATCGACGATTGAACGTTTCATGGGCCGTTTTCTCATAAGAGACTCGAGGAGATGTTGTTACAGTTCGCGGGACAAACTGTCGTTTAAAACTCGACGTGAATCCAACTTCAGAGCGTCGTGCGTTCTCCGGACAAAAGCGGATCAGCATCCTCGCGGGACTTGTCCGCGTTGCGCAAGAATCTAGCTGGACTTGCTCGTTTCAACTTCTGACCTTCTACGGCCGTGATCACTTGCCGGTTGTGCACGATCGTCCTGGGACCGCGGAGAGATGCCCGTCAGACATGTATTCGAACGACTACGACGACGACGGCGCGCTTATGAATTCTTATATTAGATGGAGCAAGAGGTAAAACGCGTGTAGCAACCTCTACTTTGAAGTATTTAGATCAATGATATCTATGTTCATTAAATCGTTCCGTCGACATGTGTATTTCATATAAACAATAGAATATTTAAAAATTTAATATTAGCAATTTAATATTATCACCATGGAAATGTTTACACATACTTATATATATATTGTAACAAATAGTAGTAGAAATTCTTCATTCGTTATTTAACTTTCATTCGTAGAAATTATTCGTTATTTAACATTCATTATTTAATCTTCATTAAATTATTAGTAATTGTATATTTTGTTATATTGATAATATTTTTATATAAACAACTAAAATTAATTACGGAGTTATTATTTATTTGTAGTATTGTGATGTATATTTAAATTATCATAATTACTATACGCGTCGAGTTTGCCTCTTTCTCTCCCTCTCTCTCTCTCTCTCTATATATATATTTCTCTCGTTTCTTTGTTTCTTTGTTTCTTCGGTAGTTCTCCCGTTGCAAACGTTGCGATGGTTCGCGCCGATTCGGGCAGATCCAACGATTCGATTTTAACAAACCGATTTTGTTCCGCTCTGTGCAGGTTAGCCAGACTTCATCAACGCACTTTGCGGATGTATCAAGAGAACGAGTACATGCACCGCGACGACAAAGGTAGTTTCGATCGTCGAATCGAACTAATTTTCGACTTTCCGTTCATACGAAATGCAACTAGGTTAAAATTCACTCGCGAACGCGAACGCTATACCGTTGGCCGCTATATCGAGTCGCGTTCGATTCATCCGCTTCTGAATATTTTCTGAGGGGTGAAAGATTTATGAGGACCGCGTTGGATGGATTTTTTTATTCGTCGGGAATTCGAAGGGCCGAAAATTCAAACCGGTGATCGATCGAACTCTATTTATGTGTCGTTTCTCCACGCTCGGGAAAATTTCAACAAACCCACGGCCAGGCTCGCGTCGTTCGGATTTTTCTTTTTTTTTTTTTTTTATCAAAAAACGGAATTTCAAAGATATATCGCACCCTAAATCACTGCAACAGCTTAAATCCCCTGTCCTGTATGTTTCACGCTACGATCGGAGTAGCGTGACGACTATAAATTTAATAATTAAACGCGTAAGTACACCATGAACGGAGAGATTACAAGCCTGATTATAAATCGAAATTTGACAGATAGAAATATTTATTGCAACGAAGGTTTCGTGAAATCTTCTTTCCCCCGTTGTCAATCAAACTTTCCTCCCCTTGTGACATTCGAAATCGATAAAGATACATCGAGATTAATGTGAAAAATTCGTTTCGCAAGCCCGGTGTATTAACAATTTTCCAATTATTAAGCCATCCGCTATGTTTCATCTCTTCCTCAATGTCGCTTTAATTTCCCTTAATATTCCTCGTACATCCTTTGTACAACCTCGCATTCCCGACATAATAAAATCATGAGCGATACTGACTCCGAACATCCTTGTGAAATTTCCTGAACAACATCCCGGACGCGGACTTAAGCTGTACGACGTGCACGTTCCTCGGATTTCCCCGACGTCAACGGAAAGATATTCTCCTGTTTCCCTTGGAAACTGATGTGTGGAAACGAAGGAAAATCCGGGCGTGGACTCAAGTTGCTCGCGCGCAGCGTGGCGTCCATTCGTTTTCATTAAATTCAATAAAGGGGAAACTGGTTGTAACTGTTTAATCTTCGAGCAGACAAACGATCTCGACAGAGTGCGAAGAGGTGAAAGCCGGCGAGGAATTCTGTTGGAAATGCAGAGGCGAGACCGCAGACGCGGATGGGAACGCGGCCTCCTCGTTCCCTCATATTCAGGACCTCTGTCCCGCTGACAGGAGAAGGATAGCGCTGCTGGTTAAGCAGTTAATTAAGTAAATACCCTCTCCAGCCACTTTGTTTCGCCTCGCGTCCGCAATTAATACACGAACAACGCCGTTTTCATTTGATTCCTCCTCTTCTTGCTACTCTCTTTATCGAGTTCCGCTTAAGCCCTTTTGTTTCTTCACCTGCAAGAATCGTCGTACTCCGCTGTGATGTAACGCTGGCGATTTTCCGGGGATTCTGTGAAACGATTAAGAACCGATCTCGTGCATTTTTCAAGCTCTAAAATCACTTTAAACTCCCGTTTTACAGTTTGAAATTATAATATTACTCAATGTCAATGATAAAACGCGATCGCGTTTGATGAAATTTAATTTCTTTCGGCATTCGCACACAGTCTGCATTTAAATTATTGAATTTTGATATGATTATGAGTTTTTTTTTCTGTTTTTTTAATTATGCATCTCGTGATTTTCATCAAGGGAATTCAGATCGCGGGATTATTAGATCCAACAGATAATTCTTTACTTATGCTCATTCCTACAAGAAGATCTTTTTTTAATTTTTTTGAATTAATTTAAATTTCTTTACCAATGATCATGTAAAGTTTACATTATTTCGTTTGTCTTTTTTACAAAGACAAGCTCCATTACTTTAACAACACGCACTATCAGTATTTTACGTTCCATATGTACGAAACGGCTAAAGATATATATCTCTCGGCTCTGCCAAATTCCACTTAAAATCGCTTTAAAATTTAGATACTCAAATATCAGGGAAACATTACCAAAAACTATGTACAAAGACTATTCCGTGAAAATCCGAAACGCAGCGCTTTATCTTGGTAAGCGAGAGGCCAAATGTATGAATTGGAATAGATAAAAGTAAATATCACGAAATCACTGAAATTGTCAACAAAGCGGATAAAACATAGATCATAGACCATTCGGTGAAAATTCAAAACGCGATATTTCATCGCGGCGAATTAAAAGCAGATATCAACAAATCACTGAAACTCGGTGAAAGAGCTATCAATTTGCGAGCTGCGTGAAATGGATAAAATGCAACACCTGTAGGTGTCTGTGGAAATCGTGGGAATTAATCTGAATTCCTCTCTCAGCCACTTTGTGTCGCCGTTCGTGAATTAATACCGACCGAAGCGATGTGTTTCCATTCGCTTGATATTTCATATACAGTGGGGTGCAAAATTGAGTCAGTAACAAGAATTTTTAAGAAATAT